GACCTGTGGTGACCTGGAGCAGGGAGCTTATTCAGTAGACAACCAGCTTTGCTAAAAAAGCTGTTAGTTTTGGGCCATTATAGTTTCCTGAGCGTAGGATTAAACAGCTGGGCAAGGGTGGGAATGTAAGCTCAGCCTTTAACCAGCTGCTGCTTTGGGTTAGCAGTACTGTCAAAGCCTTCCTTAACCTCGTTAATATAGCTCTGTTCTTGGTGGCATGCCCACATCCTGATGGAACAAAAAGACCAGGTTTCATTTTTTATATTTTATATGCTTGTACTAGGACTTCTACCTGGAAAAAAAAAATTTATATATCTATATTTTTAGCCCTGAGGTAGTCAGGCAGTTGGACTAAGTGATTGGTGTAGGTCCCTTCCAACTGAAATAATTCTATTTTTTATTTTTTTATATATATATATAAAAAATATGTAAATGCTTCCAGCTGGAATAAATGGCCAAGAACATGAAGCATGACTGAAACTAATGACACAGCCTTTCATTTTGTTCTTGTTCATAGCTAATTTTGAGACCCTTGCAGTAGCGTGCTTCAAGTGATGGACATGACAGCTTTCAGTAAATATTTTTCTTGAGTATGTTTTCAGTACTTCGTTTAATTTGTCTTGTTTTCTTATTAAAAGATAGCAAATGAGTATGCTCTATTACTACCTCAGTATTTCATGATTTCTTTTGACAATTGTTTGTTACATTTTACAAAGGCCAAAGCTCTGTTTTTGTGCAGGTCTTTAACGGTATTAATGTCCCCCTCCTCCCCTTTTGTTGGACTGTATCAGCTGGGAGTTTTTTTCAAGATACTGTCTAGAATACTTTCAAAACCAAGATATGATCTCATTTAATTGTGTAAATTACAATTAAAACTGCCTCAGAATTAAGCATAAAGCTTTTGTGTCGAGGTAATCATTAAGGGATCAGGACCCATCCATGATCCAAGCTGTAGCCTGCTGAGGAGGGGTGATAGGGGTGTTGGCAGTTCATATAATCATGCCCTCTGACTGTTCTGATATAACACTGTATGTTTAATTTCCTGTACAGAACAGAACAAAGTTATAAGCGGGAGATCAGCTCGCCAGAGCAGATGAAGGAATTGAAGCAGGTCAGCAGAATGTGCGGCTGTCGCTGCCGTAACAGTTGTCTTCAGCTTTGATTTCACAACTTGTGGAAGAACGTTGCACCGGGTTTGGAGGAGAGACTTCTGAGTGTTATAGCTTATATGAATATTCCACTAGACAGGGAAACAAATTTAGGCAAGAGGATTCTGACAGCTCTAGATTTTTGAGGTACACGAGGAACGATCAATCATGCAGAAGCTTTGCTTCGGTGAATGGTGATGGGAAGAGAAAGCTGTACGGAGGGGTAAGCAATGCTGTTAACAACAAAAGAGCTGTTTGAGCGTTGGAAAAGGGTCAGAAGCCTGGAGTGGTCAGGAAGGTTTTGCTGGGACTTATGTGCAGCTTTTCAAAAGGGCTTGAGTAACAGTCTTGAAAGCAGGAAAAGACATTGCAAATGGTGGCTGATGCCCGGTGATGCTGAGCAGATAAGGGGCAGCAGCTACAGTCTAGAAAAGATACTTCTTGGTACTGGATTCTTCTTCTTTAAGCTACTGATCTGATTGATTTTACTGGTGTTTTTTTCAGCACCTTTGAGAGCTTCTTCCTTCATCTGGGGCAGGCTGTGGTTTGCTGGCTTTGCTAATTATAAGGCAGCAAGAGTTGAACCGTAATAATGAAAGTGCAGTACTGCAGATTGCCTTTCAACCAAAGCCGAGCTTTGGCAAAGACCGTCTAGGATATACCTTTTATATGTGAAAATTAGATGGATCTTCAGACTTAAACTGTCAGTTAGGGACCAGTTGAGCAGTCACATATATATCCATTTCACTACATTCCTTCCGGTGAGGTGTACGCAGGTTGCACGAGGTATGTTGTGGTGCTGTCTTAAAAAAAAAAAAAAAAAAAGTCTTTTGCTTTTGTGCAGATCTTGAGCATTGACAATTCTCAATGTCAGAGCTGTTAAACTAATTTAAAAATTAATTATATGAATTTTATATTAAGTCCTAGCCAAGTCACTCTTTCAGGAAAAAGTCCATGTGTACGTGCATTTGCACATGGCAATGTGAGGTGTTGGGGGTTTTTGCCATTAAACTGTTCCTCTAAAGAACACGTATAGCTATGGAAAAATAGTGATGAAATAATGATAACTGTTGGCAGAGTAATTCTTGATGTAGCTTGGGTATTGATTACCAAGAAGCTCTTTGTAGTGTAGAGAAGTTTTGCCTATTCATAAATATCTTCAATTTATTTCAGCTAGGTGTTGGCTGTAAATGGGGGTGGGAGGGCTTGGACATGGGCTTTATTCCCTTTTCTCTTGCTAGTTGCTCTGTTCTGGGGCAGTAGTCAAAGTGCTTTAGATAGTTCCCAGCATTTCATTTGTGTGAATAGAATGCACAGCTGATATGAGCTGTGAACACCCTCAGCAAAACAGCTGAGGTGTCTCTTAAACTTATGTGTCATTTTGGGAAGATCTGTCTGAGGTGAGTGGCTCCTCTTTAAACCTTCGGAGTTGTGGGGGTTATTATTTGTGTACCTTTGTTTTATTTTTGTGTCTTGTGAGTATTGAAGATTGTGTCTTCTGGCGAGTAGTTGCTTATTCTGTAGAACCTACCAAATATTTAGCAGCAAGGAGTGCTGTTAATCTATCCAGCTCTGGCATCGTCAGTTGTTTTCTTAGCAAAATTCTTGTATTTGGTCTGATAAAAAGAGAAACTTGCAGTTGTTATTTGTCTGCTGGGTGCTTCAGACAGTGTGGAAAACAAGTCTGATGAATGAATTCCTTAAAACGAGACCTCTGCTTGGGTTCAGTCTACATGAATAGATTATTTTTTACATAATTTTGCATAATATTTGAATAATCTTGCATTGTTAGTTCTAAAAGCCTTGAAGGGCTGTCAGGAAATTGCCAGAATCACTCTTTCAGTAGTTCATGTACTTGTGTAAAGAAAACATTTAATCTGAGACATCGTCTTTCAGATATTTAGTTTGCAGACTCAATCCCATTGGAAACGGTACCTTTTTGGCTTCTTGAAGAGCACTGAAGACTAATGTCTGGAGCCAGTACTGACATTCTGTTCTTGTTCAGAACATCTGTGGCATCTGTTGTCTTTTGGGTTTTGGTTTCCTTTGGACTGTATATTGCTAAATTCTTGCTTACTTATTTTGCACAGTGTACAGCTGTTGGGACTAACTCAATTTCCTGCCTCTAATGCATTTGGAGGAAATATTTATAATGTATTGTTAAGTCCCCTTGATCAAAGTAGTGATGAATTTGTGTTTTCATTATGCTCTGCATCAAGACTTTTAAATTCTATGAGTATCTAAATAAGATTAATAAACCCACTTAAGTGTTTGTGTACTCCTGGAGTGAAGCCTTTTCAGAGTTTATTTCTCATAATGCTGGTTTTATGCTTGGACAAAACTGGTGTTTTCTTTTTGGTGAATGAATTATGCTTTCATATGTGCAGTGAGACAATGGGATTATGTTAAAACACTCTTAGGTCAAGCTTCAAAGGATATGGTTCTGTAAATATCCTTTGGTCACAGAATTTCTACTACCAGGAGCTCTTATTATAGCTGCAATGTACAGAAGTAACTTTTACCTCTGTGTCTATAGCAAAGACCATTTTATTTCCCTTTTTGTACTACCATTTTAGGTAGTATTCAAAGAATTGTTTTGAGTGGCTTAATGTTTGTTTGCTTTCTCAGAAATGCTGTCCCAGATTTCAATTCAAGTGGTTTCCAGAATAACTTTACTGATAATAAAATCCTTTCTAATTCCACTGCCAAGAGCCAGCAAAACCACTGGGTAACTCTGTGTGTGTGTGTGTGGGGGGGGGAAGCACTGGATTTTTCTTGTGTGGCTTCATGACATCAATGTGAAATTGATGCTACCAGTACAACTGCAGGTGGACAGTAACGCAGTTTAAGATCCTGGATCTGTCTTGGTATAATCCTGATCTCACTTCAGAGGTTGAATATTTAGAGTTTAACTTTCTCATAGTTTTGAGGAGATTGGAACATCAACAAGAACGACATATGGCAAAGTTTTTTCTTAGCTGCCGGTGTGAGTGGAGCAACCAACAAAGTTATGTAAATAAATGTATGCAGTCTTATTTGATTTGATATGTTTGACTATTTCCCTTTTTTTTTTTTTTCCTCCAGCTGGTAACTGTGATCTCAGATACAACTCCTTCGTGTGTCAGGGTCAAAGAATGAGTAAGAGCCTGTTAATAGAGGACAGTGGGAGTTGTAAAGAAGGAAAGCCAGGAATAGAGTCTGCCTGAGCACTTTTCTGTTCAGCTTTGGCAGCTCTGTAAAATGGAGCAAAGGATGAAAATGTTGATGCTGGCATTTGCTCTGGGCAGTTTTGATAGATTGAGCTGGATGATAGTAAATAGTCAGCTGGGAAAGGGTGGTTCCCGAGTGGTGAACCTTCACAAACTTGCGGGTCTGAGATTTGTGGAAGGGTGTGATGTGCTGAAATGTAAATTAATGTCTCCTTGGGGCTGAACACAAGCATATGTGTATGTTCACTGGGCAAGGATCCTTCCCAGTCTGACTGTCAAGGACGAGGAAAAGTGGAGATTCACTTCAATGGCTTGCTGTGTTCATGTAGAACATAAGCTTCCAGAATTGTTAAAGCTAAATCATGAATAATTCAAAACAGAGTTAGTTTGAATATAGTAGGTGAGGCAGTGTGGATTTTAAGGGAGTTACCTGCTATACTTGTTATCTTCTGTTTTTTCAGTGGCTGTAGGAATGTACCAGTCAAAGGAGGTGTTTTGTACCAGTCAAAGAGGTTTTTTTGCTTCTATGGCTAGTACAGAATTTTTTTTTTTTTTTTCTTCCCCCCCCCCTCCCCACTCTAGAGGGAAGTTTCCAAGCAGAAAGCTGAGGTGTGGATGTATAACACGCCAGCTATTCTGCACAGGCTTCATCACTGATGTAGAGTACTTGAGGTTTCTTCACTTTAGCTTGCAAAATACTGTTTCTTGCACTCAAGTGTTGCTGGTATCTCTGTGGACATTTACCAGTAACTGTAACCAATGTGCCTGTTGCAGAGCTAGTAGCTTGTTCAGTCTGTGGAAAATAGGTTTTGATTCTTTTACGTAAGATCTCTGTCTGAATTTATTTTTCTCTCCATCTGCCTATATAATTATTTTTTGTTTTATTTTAAGGATTGGACCTATCCCATGAGGAGAGAGATGCAGGTATGACACACTTTCATTTACCATTTGAGTCAAAACCCATGGTGCACTCAGTAGGAAAAAGAAAGTGCCCTACAAAAGCACTGATATCAAAATCAATCTTTAGGGGTAAAGTGTCAGGCCAGTACCGTGGGAGAGATGTGTGAGGATTGCCAGCTTGTTAAAAAAAAAAAAAAGTAGTTATACTGGATTATGCAGGTGTGCTTGGACCTCTGTTGTGCAAGTACTAAAAAAAAAAAGTTGTCCCTTTCAGAATTCCCCAAAATATTTTATTTTTGCTTAAGAGATGGTTGTTAAAAAGCAAAGCTCCAATACATTTTTAACTTAAATTTGGCTGGAAGTGTCCTCAAGTAGGATGGACAATGAAAATTTTCCTAGGGTGGTGTCAGCTGAATCCTTGCACAAGGTAAGATCTACAGACCTACATGTCTTTATTGGTGGGGAGATAAATAGTTAAAAATTGGTATTTTCCTACTACTGGGACAAAGCTAGAAGATTTACCATGCGTGTTTCTTTTTCCATTAGAGCGATTTGGAATTAATTACAAGACACAATTATACACAAAGTTAAGAGTTCCCTTCATTTGATCTGGGGCTGGGTAAGATGCAGTAATCAAACTGGAACTTAGTCCAAATAAAGGACTTGATTCCTGTTCCAAAACAAGATCTCCTGCACAAAGATCATGTTTCTTTTATTCTGCCAAACAAATTTTTTTTTCCCCTTGTCCTGTTATAAATGACACTTGGTAACGTGCCTCTCTCTAATACATAAATTACTTGTTTCCACGGCCATAGTCTAGTTGAGTGCAATGTATTATTTCAGATAATTTTGAATTGGTATTAAATGTCTGTTCTTCTGCCTCCTAGGAAATTTTACCTGGGTTATTTTTAGGCCCATATTCTTCAGCTATGAAAAGCAAGGTATGATTTTCAGAATAGTGTTTCATAAGGAAGCTTTGCTGTGGTGCTTTGATTTGTTGCTGTGGGAATATGTTTAAATGTTATCTGTATAAGCCTAAATTTGCTTGCAATCCTGAATTGGAATGTGAAAGATTCCAGAGTAGAAATAATATGTGGTGCTTTTGTGGGACGGTCCTCGTAGCCTGCAGGATTATCTGGGGCTGGTGTCAATGCCTCCCCTCTGCAGAGTGACTCTGAACTGCTGCCTCGGGCATGAGAGTTGACATGAGACTGCGTTGTCCTTAACAATCTGGTGAGCTAAAGGGTTACTTTAGGAGAAAAATTAAGAAAGAGCCCCGATTTTTTTTTTAAATTTTTTCACATGCCTTGAAGTTCTGCATATGTTTGTACACGTGCACACACTCTTAATTCAGCTAAGTCAGCTTTACCTACTCCTTACAAACCAGAGAAAAGTGCAAGTTTGAAGTGACTTGTGCACTACTTACAGCGGGCATTCATGTGTGAGCTTCTTGTATTAAAAATTAAGTCTTATAGTTAAGCTTGAATAGCATTTTTCTTGGAAAAAAGTAAACCATTTGAGATGTGCACGTTACCCATCAGGCAGTCTGTTTCCTTTGCTAAAGCATTGCTGCACAAATCGGAACTGGGACCTCGCCCGTACAGTAAAATAAAGTGAATTGCATCTACAAGAAGGTCAAGCAGTGCTAAGACAAAGCTTCTATCTGCAGACTTAGAATTTAAGCGATTTTACTTTGAATGGTCCAATTCCAGCAAGAATCCAGTGCTAGCTGAAAATTACTGCATCGTGTAGGGACTTGCAATTTGAGGCAAAGTGGAAGGTGGGCAGGGATAAACAAGCGCGTTTAGTGCTGCCTTTAGTGCCTGTTCTTTTTATCATTGTTAGGAATGCTCTTGCTTGCAGGTCCTACTGGGTGTGTTTTGTCTCTGAAAGATAGAACTTTTCACTCTATGCTTTGAATATAAGAAAACTAGCTCCTGATTTTCCTTGAGGACATGATATAGCCCTACCGTGCATTGAAGCATAGCTTTTCTTTTTATTACTGTGTAACAGATGGATTCTGTCATTTAAAAAAAATTTGTTTTTTTCTTTTCCACAGCTACCTATACTTCAGAAACATGGAATAACCCATGTAATATGCATACGGCAAAACATTGAAGCAAATTTTATTAAACCAAACTTCCAACAGTTATTTAGGTGAGAAATTACCATAACATGCAGACCTGCAAACGATGAAAGGTCTTACTTTTAAGCAACTGAATACTGTATTAACAAGATCTTTTTGTGTGAAGTGTTCTTCCCAAATATTTTCACATTGTCAGAACTGTATGAAGAATGTGCTAAGGTGTAGAAAGACTCTTAAATCCAAACTGTGAAGTGTTTTCATCCTGCTAAACTCTAGGCATTGGCAAGCAAAGTATCCTTAGTTTGCAGTAGCAGTCTTCAGTTTTCAAGTTGTTGGTACTAAGTACCCTTTGTCCTGCTAATAAATCATTTTGAATGACTTAATCAGAATATGTGTACCTCTGAAAGTTGCATAGAGCCCCAGAAAAGAACCCTGGCCCATATTTACAACCTGCTGGGGAGCTGTGAGTCTGTAGCGTACTGCTTTCAAAGTTGAAATGCTGTATACAGTTGAAAACCTGTAGCATAGTGCTCGTGTGTTTCTGCCCCTCCAAGAGGGGATTTTGTCAGGGGATGTTGGAGAAGGTTCTTCACTTTCTTCCTCATAAGGACAGCTCCAGAGGTTGCATGATTGTCCAAGTTCTAGAGCTCAGACCAGAAAGTAGAGCCAGGAGGGTAGTTGCTGGCTTCCTTCTGCAGGTTTGAGTATTGTAGTGGGCTTGAATCAGCTCTACATGTGCCAGTGGTGGCAACTTGGTATTACTGTGTACTCATAGCAACTGTTTTCATTGTAGGTATTTAGTCTTGGATATTGCAGATAATCCAGTTGAGAATATAATACGATTTTTCCCTATGGTAAGTATTTGTGTGTTAATGAGAACGGATGGGGAATTGAGTTGCCCAGCAAGAGTTCTCTGAACTAACAGATACCGATTTCAAATTTGGGATCAGGACCCAGCCTGAGGCACCTGGAAGGGCTGTGAACTCTTAAGTGACTTTATTATTGCCACTTTAGCAAGTGTAATTAACTCCTTTTTTTCAATTATAGAAACTGAGGCAGAGTTGTATCTTCTTACAATCTTTTTAAAAAAAAAAAAAGTCTGGTCTCAAAACAAAGGATTCAGATCATGGGAGAAGAGAATGCTGGAGAACCTGGCCTGTAGGAAACATATTTTTTGAGACCAAGAATACTTACATGTCTTGTATCAAATACTAAAACAAATCCAAAGAGAAAATAATACCTAGTTGATGTAATGAAGTTTTACAGTATCTTGAAATGTGTTTACTGTAGAGGAATTAAAAAGTAGCTTTAAGTTAAACAGTACCCGTTACATACTGACCTTTGGGAATAGAATAAACTGGTAGTTTTGGGCCATGGTTTTGAATCTTTTGGTTAGTTTGCAACAGAGCAAAAGCATTTTGTTTCTTTTTATACTCCCCCCCCAAAAAACCCCAACCCAAGCCCCCACCAAAAAGCTCTTCTGGCTTCCCCATATATGACAGAGGTGGTCATGTTTTTGCAGAACAAGGCAGCAGATCAGTTGATGGCCTGCAGCTTTTCTAACCTATAGTGCCGTTTGATCAAACAACATCCTCTGCACATCCCACAGTTACTGACACCTTAGTAGCTCCGTGTTGGAATATTTTTAAGAGTCTAGTCTGAGTTTTCCCTATAGTAAATTATTTAGCTTTTGCTTTTCATCTCATCAGCTGTTTCAACCTAGCACTACATCACATCTCACCTTATAGGTTGATTGGACCTACTTTAATTAGTGCAAATATCATTGGAGAACTTCTAGGAAGACAGAGTCAGTAGAGTGGTCTGGGCCAGATTGCTGTTGATGCATGTGGATTTTAGTTTGTGGCGGGTGTTTGATTTTTTTTTTTTTCTTCCCAACTGTTAAGCAAGATATTTGGAAGTTACTTTCTAGTATAGTGGCTTAACAGGTGACATAATGATTGTAAATGCATACATACTGGATTTTTATGCATTTGTTTCTGGCCTTGCACTAGGTTTTCACAGACAATTTTATGGATAGTTAAAAGTACAAAAGAAATATAAATGTCCAGTTGAAATGATGTCCGAGTGCATTATTGCATTATTGTCACTGTATATAAAGATACCAAATTTAAATGCCAGTAGCAGTAACATCCAAACATCTAAAATAATCTGAAACTTTGAGTCTTGTAATTTATTTTCTTTTTTAGACTAAAGAATTTATTGATGGAAGTTTACAAAGTGGAGGTAAAATCATATTAACTTTTCTCCTTTATTTATGAATACATTGTTGTTAAAGCTTTAAAACTGACTTAGTGGTATGTATTAGAGGTTCTTAAGTATGAGGTTTTCTTAAATCTGGGGTTTTATTGTGCTTAACAAGTTCAGAGCGAAGCAGTCTTCTTTCTTTTTGCCTCTGATGGGAAAACAAGCCTCTCCGTATATCTGGGGTTTTTTTTCCACTTTAAACACAACTATGTTCTGTGCATGAGGTTTTTTTGCCCCCTCTATAATGTAGAATCTTAAATCTGCATTGTGGTCCTGGATTCCAGATTCTGTTACTCAAAATCCTCAGAGGAATGGGAATCCATGCTTCTGCATCCCAGGGCAGTCATGGACAGAGTGTAGGTAGTAATCTAGAGTGTAGACACACTTCTTAGGATGTACCTTTCTACTGTGTAGTTCTCTGTACCATGAAACTACATTTCAAAGAGTCTTCTTCAGTTGGTACAAGTATGGTTGGTTGTGGTTTTCTTTTTTCCCTTCCCAGGAAAAGTTCTTGTCCATGGAAATGCAGGGATTTCTAGAAGGTAGGAAACCATCCATCCTGCTTATTTTTTTTTTTTTAAACAATGGAAATATATTTTAATTTTTAACTTTTTTTTTCAGTGCTGCCTTAGTTATTGCATACATAATGGAAACATTTGGGGTGAAGTACAGGTAAGAACAGAGTGTGGTGATGTAGTTAACACCTTTTCTGAAAAGGTTGAAGTGAGAGTACTTTAGTACAGAGAAGTAGCCTGATATGTCTGTAGGTGTTAATTTTTGTAATTCAAGTGGTATAAGTGAATAATAATTCTGGAGGGAACACAAACAGTTGTGTATTATTGCCTACTGAGCTTGAGGACTACATGGGGCAGATTATTCCATTTCACTTTGCTGCAGGTTTGTTTACATCCTTTCTTTAAGCAGAAGTAGGTACCTGCTGCTAATGGAAACGGGCTACCAGCCTGACAGATTGATGCCTGCCTTTAAAACTGTAGGAGAGGCCCCAAGAGGCTGTTCTGAGCCGTGTGTTGAAAACAGGCCAGCAAGCAAGACTGGGGGTGGGAAAAATCATATTTTACAACTACTGCTTCCTTTTGGCCCAAACAATTTCAGTCAGACAAGCCAGTTCTGAAGAGTCTTTAGAGGTCATGTATTTCCTAAGAACTGATAATCAGAAGGAAGACTCCTGAAACCACAGAGACTTTTGTCATACTCTGTTTTCCACTGAAGTATTTTATCTCTCTTCTTCTCTTTTTAAGGGATGCGTTTACTTATGTTCAAGAAAGAAGATTCTGTATTAATCCTAATGCTGGATTTGTCCATCAACTTCAGGTGACTTTATTTTTCTGGCTGTAACTCAGAACCCATTTGATGAATCATCTTCCTGCTAAACAGCTGTTTGTACTTAGGCGTAACATTTACTGTAAAAGTATGCTTCAAGTAAATGTCAGAAGCTATAGTAGACTTGGGAGGAGGATGAGTGGGTACCCTAGTTCATTAGACTTAAGCTTTAGACAAAGCAAATCCGGGAGAAATAAAATTCCTGGTTTGTGCAGTGATTAAGAGGCTCTGCAACAGCTTGACTGGCAGCGAAGGAAACTGCAAAGTGAATACCGTGGCACGCAGCAGTGATGCTTCTTGACACTTGGATTTGTAGGTGAAGTTCACAAGTCTGAAACAGCAAATGGTGGTATCATGGGGTTGCTTTATTGTATTCCAGGAGTCCACTGGGTGGGCAAACACCAGGACAGTACGTTGAAACAGATTTGCAGTGTCTCTTATTGCTTGGGTGGCTGGCAGCAAGATGATTGAGTATCTCCTGAGTTCTTGGGGGGGTGGTACATTTAAAGAAACTCCTGCGAGGAGTTCTTGTGTAGCACTGTAAGTGTGACAGGCCCCTGGAACACAACTTCAAGGCCATGTATGGTTTGTCCTTGGAACAAATCTCTGAAGCTACCGTATTCAAAGTCAGGTTTGTTTTACTGTCTCAGTTGCCTTCTGGGAGCAACAGTGAGTTCTTTGAACATTCTCACAGAATTTTTTTATGAAAGTTTACTCTCTTCCTTAAAGCCAGTACGTGCCATCCTTTAAGTTTTCTTTTGCTCTGTCTTCCTAACAGTTTTTGTCATTCAAATCAAAGCAACAAAGAACTCTCCTCTAAAATATCTGCCTTACTATAAGATACTCTGTCCTAGTGACGTTTCTAAATTAATCCTTCTCATCCTTACAAAGCATTATGCCAAATCAATAGCAAGATGTATTATTCAACTTTTCCAGGAATATGAAGCCATCTATCTAGCAAAATTAACCATCCAGATGATGTCACCACTGCAGTTGGAGAGATCCCTCTCAGTTCCACCTGGAACTACAGGTCAGAAGCCTCTCCTGGGGGGTGTGATGCTGCCTGTCCTACCTGGTTTTGCAGGGTGACTTTGGCACTCCCTGAGTAAACCTCTAGCAGCAGCACATCTCAGACTTTTGGGAAGGGGATGGCTGCAGTTGGTGTACAAGCTGTGGTCGAACTTCAGTCTGCAGTACTGAAATATTCTGGTTTGTGGCTGAACTTCCCTACGGTGGTGTCTGACTTCCATGCCATATGGGAGAAGGGCCCTGCCTCAAAATGTCCCAAACCCCCAGCTGCCCTACAGGAATCAAGAGTGGTGGGTTGAAAGCATCCAGTGTTCATGACATAATTGCTGCCCTTAATTTTAAGGCAGTTGATCTGAAAAAAAAGTTTTGCTGTGCCTTTGAACAGATAATAGGGCATGTAAAAAATGTTTCCTTAAGCATATAGAGGTGTGCCAGTAGCTAAAGGTTAGGGAAAATGCAGCGTGGGGTGAGATGTAAAAGGAGTGCAAAAACGGGTGGATTCTAGGAAATTTCCCTGTGGAGAAGTGTGAGGGAAGAAGAGTGCTGTCAGCAACCGGCTATACAAAAGCTGAAGGTCTTCAAAGGGCAGAGTCCCTGCAGGAAAACACCAGCAAGTGCCCTGCAGTCCTCCTGGCAGCTGCCTGTTGTTAGCGCTGCTCTCAGCTGTGTCCTCCTTCCTCTTGCCTCTTCCAGGAAGTTTAAAGCGAATGCACGAAGAGGATGAAGAACTCGGAACCATGCAAGTGGCAGCAGCACAGAACGGATGAGACCTGAGGGCAAGCACTCTTTGTATTGTGAATTCCTGCCAAGAAAGGTGAAGCAAACTAGGGAAAAAGAACTAATAATGCAAAATGAACACAGACATAGCTTCTTCTCAATTACATGTTGCTTTCAGATGTAAATCTGCCTCTGCAACACACTAAGCATCATTTTTAAGATGTTGGACTTCTTGAATGAATAGATGGCACTGATTGTTTTACTCCTTTTTTACACTTTACAGTTTTATTCTAAACCAAGATTTTTGGACTTGCAAAGAGGTATTATTGCAATAATGCACTTTTCATACTTGAAATTTCTTTATTTGTATGATATAAAGTTATTACTTTAAACAAAATGCAAGTTGGGAGGGATTTGTTTATAAAGTTATTTGTGTAATTTATAACAAGAGACTTTAGTAAAGAAAAAGTTTGCTAAAACTTCACCTTGTTCTCAGTATATATTATGGTCATGCTTGTAGAAATGTGCTTTATGAACTGCACCACACTACTGGTAAGTGAGCAGCAGCAGTGATCTGAGCAGTATTTAACTCTGCCTTGTTCTAAAACCTCATTATATACTGAGAGACTGGCACTCAGATCAATTTAAGACAAAATACTGGTTTAAAAATCTCTTGGTTTATGCAAGTTAAACAGAGTACTGATTAATCACTTAATAAAATACTCATGTGCTGAATTAATACAGAGGGCAGCTACCCATTTTACACACAAGACTGAATTCTTGTAGCCAGCATTAAGAAGCTGCTTGTTAAATTAGTTATAGGCTGATTTAAGTAGAACGAGCCAGTACATTCCATCTGTCTATTAGAAATAGTGCGGTATTGAAGGAATAGTTCCCTCTCTGAGACAATAGTTGCATCATTTGAGGTAAAAATTAGGTTGGTGTTTGAAAACTGAGGCTCAGAGCCCTGGCTTGTAATAGTATCAAGACCTAAAGGATTCACCTCAGCTTTTATGAAGTGTTAGAGACAATTAAGGCCACACACTTAACCAGTGCTTGAACATTTTCAAACTGGGAATCGCTGAACTGGTTTGTGCAGCTTTAACTCTTCTCCCTTCTCAGATAACCTCGGGTTGTGCAAGTGCAGTTTCAGTTCTGCATCTCTGCTTTATTTGCCAATCAGTCTGTTGCATAAAAGATAGGAATGAAATGATGGCTCCTTCGGAGCATGGTGGTGACTGAGCATATTACAAAGCTGTTAGGAAAACTTGTGTATTTGGGAAATCTGGGCTTGTAGTTAGAGTCTATTTTAACAGAGAAGAGGTAAGAGCTGAATCAATCTTTTGGGCCCCTCACCCCAAAAAGGCCATTGAATGACGAATGGGGCCAGAGAAGGGCAACGGAGCTGGGGCAGGGTCTGGAGCACAGGTCTGCTGGGGACCAGCTGGGGGATCTGGTGGAGTTGGGAACGGTCAGGGTGAGGTTCATGGTTGGACTGGAGGAGCTTCAAGGGCTTTTCCAGCTGAGGTGATTCTGTGCATATAAGACACGTGGGGCTCTGAGCCTCCAGCATCTCCCTGTACTCTGCTGGGGCCAGGGTCCTCTGTCAGCTGCAGAGTAAGTGACCTGCGCTGGCTCTCAGGGCAGATATTTTTGAATTTGAAGGCCTGAAGCTCAGCAGCAAAGCCATTTTGTACTGTGAGGATCTCTTCTGATACTGCCTTTTGCTGGAGGATCCTCCAGCACCTTGTTTGCTTTGCAGGAGCCTGTTTACTTTGTAGGAGTTCTGCCTTGCTTTGTGTATTCAAGACAAGTTGACCACGCCTGGGACTTGTTGATCTTTAGTTAGTCACTGATCTTCCGCCTTGTCTTGCAGCCCCTCCAGAGCAACTTTGAGCTCTTGGCCTCTCTGGAGACTTTTATAGGGGGTGGATTTTGATTTGAAAACTGCTTGGGTTAAAGCATGCTGCTAGAACAGATGTTGGTGGCACCTGAGGAGGAAATCCTGCAGGAAGTCAGAGCTTTTAACTGAGCTAGGACACCAGGGTAAGGCTCTCCAGCCTAATAACCTCTTCCCATGTGGAATGGGGATGCTGTGGAGTGCTGCATGTGGGGAGGCTTCAGCAGCACTTTATCTTTGCTGTCTGTCTTCTACCACCTACATCAGCAACAGCACACTGCAAATCCTTCAGAAAAAATGCCTTTAAGACATGTATGATTAATTAGGAAACTTTCAGCTTGGAAAGGGGAAGTGTTGCTGTTGCCTCCTTAAGCAGCACAAGTTGTCAGTGTGGTTGTAGGGTTTATTATGTGCTGCTAACTGACTCTCTTTACAGGAATGTGTCTGGGGCTGTTGGGAAATAGAGGCTCTGATGGTTCACCCCCCACCCCGTGAGGTTACCGCAGGGTTTGGGGGTGTCTGTCTGTCTCACACAGCTCACCAAATGCTGCCAGCTCACAGCTGCTGGGAACCAGAGCTTCTGCATCAAATTGCTTTCTGTTGCAGCTCCCTTGGGAAGGGGTAGACGTGAAACACAGCTGGAAGAACAGTCTTGCTTCATCAAACTATCTCCTGCCAGAGAGGCTGGTTGATGTGGAGTCTGGTTCTGTTACCTCAGTGGGGTCCTGGGGCTTCCCTGGGGACCCTCTTTCACAAACTAACAAGCTTCATGACTAAAGATTTTCCACCAATCTGATTTCTTTTTTTCAGACCATTACACCCTACTGCTGCCTTCTGCAGTCATTCTGGTCCGTCTGCCTCACAGATAACATCCTCTCAGATCCTGAGGGATTCTGACAATAGTTTTCCTCATATCTATTAAGCCTTTTATTTAGAACTTGACATTTCTCTCATTTAGCTTATTGCCAGTAGATATTTCAATTAGTTTGCTTTCCAGATTAAACCAAAAGTGGGAAGTGGTGGCAGGGATCCCTTGCTGTGGTGTTAGGGTAGCAGTAGAGGTGGAATTTTTCTCCCTTCACCATGTTCCAGATCTTTGGGGATCCACAGCTGGATGTTGACATTGCCTTTCCAGCTTGGGGGAAGCAGAGTGAAGGAGCTGGAGAGCTCTTGCTTCCTCCTTGGGATTTCAGCTTTTGGGCAATGTTAAACCTCTGGAGAAGTTGGTAGTTTTGAGAGGGTTGATTTCTGACACAGTCCTTGGTGCTGGTGTTCCCTGGGAGGTCTTGCTAGTTCCTCTTGAGCCAGTTGTACTGGATATATTAACAGGCCTGTTTCATTTTAATGGTGATATTTTCTTACCACCTGTTGCTGTAAGATGCTGTTACTTGTGGCATTTTTGTGGCATTTTCCTGCTTCTTGTGACAACTTAAAGCATCTTACAAGGAGCAGCTGAGGGAACTGGGGGGGG